GATGACCAGGAGGACCAGCGGATGAAGGAGATGACACCGGTTTGTAGCCTTCTGGCCGACAGCCGCGGTAGACAGAAGCTCGATCGAGGATCTAGATACGGGAGCATGACTCGAAGCGCCAGCCTGGGAAAGACTTGAAGTCGATCGAGCAGCCTTGGACACACGGGCAGACTGGGTTGGAGACTCGGATTCGGAGCGTGCTCGCTTATGGCCCGGCGCGGATGGGAGAAGGGACGCAATGTTGAACAACCTCTCAAGCGCCTGGTCCCGTTCAGCCCGTAGATCGGTGACCTCCAGGTTATGGTGGAGGAGGCAACAGAGGTTATACTGGCCAGCTGGATAATCGTCGGGGTGGTGGAGGACACGATGATAACAAATATGGTGGAGATCGCTGGGGTTCTGGCGGTTCGGCACAGTCGTTCGGATACTACGATAACCGAGGTGGGAGTGGGGGATACGACCAAGGTCGCAATGACTACAATCAGAGTGGAGAATACGGAGAGGTTACCGGACAGTGGGGTAACTATGGCTATAATCGGGATGATCGTGGTAGTAGTGGAGGACGAGATGGTCGCGTGTACTGTGGAGGGGGTCGAGGTGAACGTGGTGATACGCGCTCTCGTGGAGATCGCGAACAGCGTAGCTGTAATGGCCGTACTGGTGACCAGCGACCCCGTGAAGGGGGATGTCGTCGTGAAGATGATCGGCGTGCTGGGGATTATGATGGTCGAGGTCGCGGAGGAAACAATGAACAATCGATATGGTGGTGGTAACAATCGACGTGGCGATGACGGTCCAGACGCTGGTTTGATATCTGGGGTCGTCCGATCCAGGATCCTTAAGCTCAGAAGCACTGGGATGGTAGCACTGCAGATCTTGAAGTTTCATCCAAAGATCCAGAAATGCCTCAGGTGGTGGAGTTCTGTTCTCGTCCCGTGGCTCCTGCTCGCAGTGGCAGCACGACCCCACTTATGATTAACTACTTTAAACTGACCATTGACAAGGGCCCGCTCCAGATTTTCAAGTACCATGTGACCGTGGATCTTTCGCACGACGATGAGTCCAAGTATGGCCCTGCGGCTTCTAAGCAAGAGGGCGATGCGGTTAGTGACGTTGATGCAGCAAAGGACAGTATTCGTTCGAGTTCGGAGCGTCCACCGCGTCCACTACAACGTGGACTGGTGAGCCGCGTGGTGAATGCTGTACAGAGGCAATTTGACGACGACTATGACGGAGTTCGGGTAGTTAACGATGGAATGGCTGCCTTATATTCGCCAACGCAGATCCATGGGGCACGAATGTGAAGGCTTTTAAAGATATAAATCCGGATATCGGAAGGTGGAGCACGTTTGCGCAGAGGACCGATGACCTTTGACGTGAAGATACAACACGTCGAGAGTATTGAAATTGTGAATCTGCTGCAACACTACTCGGATCCAGAGGTGAATGTCATGCCAGTGATGCAGGCTATAGATGTCGTTACGCGTCACCAGGCCTCCCAGAGCATGAGTCGTGTGGGACGAGCGTTATACACCATGATAAACACTCACACACTGCAAGGCGGCAGGGAACTGTGCTTGGTATATCATCAGGCCGTTCGCAAGGCAACCGAAACTCTGGTTCTGAATCTGAACGAAACTTCTGCAGTATTTTACGCTCCTGGGCCGCTGATGCAAATGGCGTTGGCAGCTCTGCGTATCAGCAACCCAAGAAGCATCCGAAACTTGACGGACAAGCAATTAAAGTCTCTCTCACATACGCTACCAAAGGTGGAAGCGACGACAACGCACCGTAATGACCGATCCTGTTCACGGACATCGGCCACGAAGTTTCTCAAGTTTCAGCTAAACGATGTGTTGTTCTATTCATGAGTCTTCTCTCCGTCCGCTTCTCGTCCAATGTTGAAATGAATACGGTTAGTTCGTCTTTCGCAGATCGTTTCACTGCTTTTGTGGAGAATCGGGTAGGACATTCCTATCAAGTTCTAACGGTAACGTCCTGCGATTTGCTGTGGCATTCGAAATTGGTAGATGGGTGAAGAGCTTGTAGAAGTGATTGAGATTGTCGTGCTGGAGGTAGTAAAACCAGAGCACACAGTAGTCTCCGCAATGCCCCCAGCGGTGGTCCTGAACCCGAAATGGAGCCTGTTTGTAATCGCGGGGGATTGCTAAGGGTGGTGGCGACTGTAACGGATCGAAGTATAGTTTATGCTTATTACTGACAGCCATCCAGTGCGTGCCGCCAATCTGTGGAGTGCCCATATTCAAAATCGCATAGTCAACGTCGAGTCTGAGCTTGTGTTTAAAATCAATCTGATCGACCCCCACATCAACCGCTTCGGCTAATTTCAGTAGATCCGAGTCTGAATCGACCGATGATTTAATTATTTGACGAATTAAGTCCACTATGTTGACTCGATTTCTTTTATTTATTTTTTATGGACTATATTGGCTTACATATAATCCAAACGCGCATATCGTTTTATTAGAAATGTCAACTGCTTCCGATATCTCCGCATACGCTCACTCTGTTGAGCCAGCTCAAGCTGAAACTCTTTTCTCCAGTAAGAAATGGACGTACATCCAAGATTCGACCTCTAACACCAGTCAGTACTCGGGTCAGATTCAGTTCAATCTTTCGACTATCTCATCTCAGGCTTCGTTTGTGAATTGGGAGGAGGCTGTTATTGAGCTCCCTGTCAAGCTTCAGATCACGAACGCATCTGGTGGATCTATCACTTCGACCGCCGCTGCTACGTTCGATCAGTTAGTGCCTAAGGCTGGTTCGTGGCAATTCCTCGATTCCGTTCAGGTCGTGATTGATGCTACGACCGTACAAACCAATCAAATTCATGAGAATGTTATGGCTCAGTTCAATGCGCTAACTGAGTGGTCTCAGGATGATCTCGTCAATCACGGTGCAACGACTGGTTTCGCTCTCGATAGATACGAACCTCAGACGGCTGGTGTTATTCAATCTCTTGATAACGTAACAAGGCCATAACACCGGATCGAAAGTTACAGGACTCTTTAGATGCGCTAGAAAAGCTTGCTTCAGTGGAGAAGATGATAGCTGTTGAGATGAGCGAGTGCCAGTCCGATGTAGATGCCGTTTACAAGCGCCGACGTGAAGCGAAAGTGGAAGCGATAACCGAGCAAAGAGAGCTTGAAGCAGCTCGTTCGGCTGTAGAGAATCTAGAGCAGCAGTTGATCTCGGTTCGCGACGAATGTGACGGGCAAACTCAGATTGCGTTGAAATTAGGGAGAAGACCGGATGAAGTGAATGTTCCTGCACAATGCAACAGGCAAATTAAGACAGTGGAGCGTCAACTGACACGAGTAAGGGACAAGTTGGAA